ATCCATGCTGGCACTTGATTCCAAACAATGGTAGGAAAAAACGCTGGCATCTTTGCCAAGCACACTTAATCCTAAAGCTGGTTGTGCTCACCTCCATTCGTGCCAAAGTTTGCATATGCAAGGGGTGATCCTTAAGGGGTTTTCCAAAGGCCTCTCTCTTGGTAGCATAATCCCGTGCCATGTGGACAATTCTATGGATGGAAACAAAGTCAGGCCTCAGGGATTAATTGCTGCCTTTTCTCCTACATAAAATGTACTCCTGCTCCGTCCCATCATTTAATTTCATTATTTAATTAATGCATAAAATCATCATGGTTGCTGCTGACTCTCATGGGAGTGAATGTACGATGTTATATGCTGGAGGGATACAACAGTAATTGCATATATAAGGTAAATGTTAATGAACTTTCTACTGTCTTTATTAATTCCACCTCTAGGTAGCAAAAGTATTTCCATTTCTCTCTACACAGACTACAGAACAGCCCTTCCACTCAGAATGATGAAGGGCTGTGCTGCCAATATTGCTCAACAAAATGGGCATTTTTGTTGGCACTTTCTTTTTGCTGTGGAACATCATCCCCGCGGAGATAAGACTGGGCCCCCCTTGATGCTCTTCCGCAAGGCCCTGAAGATACGGTTTTGCCAGAAGGCCTGGGTATCCCCGGTAGTTACGGAGCCCATGAAATGGCTAGTGTAAGGGTCGCCAGGAGGGTGGGGGGCGATAGTGGGTTTTGTATTTGAATATTTATTCTTGTAGCCCACCCAGAGTCACTGAGAGTGAGTTGGGCAGACATAGAAATTGCTTAAATAAATAAATAAATAAACAAACAAAAGTCCTCAGATAGGTGCATGAAGATTTTGAAATGCTTAATACTCCTGAGCATTCCTCTACAGGCTCCAGTAAGCTGGCCAACATTTTCAGGCAATATCACCACGCCTCACCCGCGGCTCCTACAGCCCTCTGAGGCAAGAATTGTTCTAAAAATAAAGAAGAGCCCTTCTGTACAAGAAAATGGCTCTCCCACGCATAGATGAAGCCCAATTTATGGTTATACCCCAAGTCCATTGGCATCTATATTTTACATAGTAAATACTGATCCACAAGTAAACTTTCATTTGCAGAAGTTCAAAAAATGAACAAGTTGAACTACACAAGAGTATTAAAGTAGCAATTTGGAAATTAGAAGACTCCAAACTACATCTTCAAATTGGTCAACTTAACTTTGCTTAATTATCCTTCAGATTACAGCATAACTGAATCGGTTGTCATTATGCCCAGATGTAGTTCTTCCTAGTCATGTCCACTTCTCAGGGAATGGGCTGAAATTCACCTTCTCATAATTCCAACTGCAGAGACGGCATTATAGATCCTAGCGATGTTCAGCATGTTGGCAATGCAAGCTATACCCTGGCCTTCTGCAGAGATCTGAAAGCATTAAGAAACAGCTTCAGACTACCGGATCTGGTCCGCCTGCAAAAGCCTACATGCAATCAAAAGTGTAAAATCAGTCCATTTGCAAAAATAAAAATTCCTAAATGCCATTTCCAGGATCTGAGAATGAGAAGAGCAAGTAGCTTAAGGAAAGCTAGAAAGCGGGCTTTCTTCAAAAGACTGAAACCTACAAACTAACATTTCAATTTAAATAACTAATTCTAAAAGTGCACAAAGACTGAGGATCACAGGGACCATAAAGCTGACTACACAAAACACAACCAAAGGAGTAATTTTCTGGAGCAGCTTAGGATGCTAAAACTATATTCCATCACAATTTGCGGATGGACGCACCCAAGAGGCGTGTTCTACCAGCCCCTGGCTTCTAAGGTCTTTTGAAGCATTGCTCAAAAGCCTCAGGCTATTTTTCTGTTAACAGCTTTAGAAACGGTAGTAATCTTTTCAGATTAGGCGCTCCAGCAACTAGAGGTGAGGATCTTCCCCTGCATAGCTCT